GAGACTAGTTAGTGACCCTGAGTTCATTTGTGATGTGTGTTGGTGCAGTTTTGTTTCAGTCTGGGTCCCACAGCTTTTCTTCTGTAGCATTGGTCATCTTCTCATAATCCTGAGTATCCCTGAATATGGAATGCCTCTGAAGATCTTGCTCTGTGTGTATTTGCACTCAGATGGATCTGGGCAGCTACCAGACACTAAAGCAAGTGAAGCTCATGGTGCCTGCTGGCAGTAGATACCAGAAAGTTTGCATCAGAGATGGGATTAAACCCATCAAACAAGGTGTAGTCTTGGTGTCTTCACCCTGCATGTGTAAAACCTCTTTTCTCGTTGTCTCTTTGGATTCCTGGCACAGAAGTGCACTTGTGCAGGTCTGGGGGGCCATCAAACCTTCGGGGCAGCTCTGTCTCAGGTGGTCTCCCACAAAACTTGGGTGGAAAATTAAGAACATCCTTTGAACCACCCATAAATACCCACCAGAATAAAAGGGGCTTCTGTATTGTGCTTGACTTTGCCACAGACAGCAGTGCCATTTCCCATTGCCTTGCCCCTGTGAAGCACCAGAGTGTTGGAACAGGGATGAAATTACTGATAGAAGGCCCAAATATCCCTTGCAGCCACATGGCAATGGTGGGATGGGAGGCACAACAGGAGCACCAGGGTGCTGTGGCAGCCCAGATGTGATTTGAGGAGACTGAATTCAATCAGTGGAGTCAAGCATTTGAGCTCTTTATTCTGATAATCCATAGCTCTGATCACAAATGATGGTTCTGGCCATGCATTGTTGTTTTCACATATTGACTCTAGTGAAATATCTCTATGGCTGGAGATAAAAAGAAAACTCTGTGTTGCACAGTTAAATTATTGTCATTTCTGTTTAGTTTCAGGCATGTTGCTGAGCACATGATACATCCCAGATCTGAGATAAAAAAGAACAGTTTTTCTTTTCTAATGGAATAAGTTATTTTAGTATAAAGTACAAGCTAGGAATTGGTGTCTGTTTCTAGTTTAAAGATAAACAAGGTCCATTCAGTGAAATTTCACTGTGAGGCAGCTCCTGAAAAGCTGCAGAAATGGGAAAATCTGCAGATTCTCTTAATGTAAGTTGCTCTAGATGCTTTGGGAGTACAGAATCAGAAAGGACAAAAAACTATTTTGTGCAACAGATGTGCTGGTTCATTGCAAAATCATAAACAGATAAGAACAAGCAAAGATTTTCCAGTTAATGGTCTCAACTGAGAAGAGCTAATTGGGCCAATTAGCCTTTGTGATGTAGCTGCTTTATGAGTGATCTGAGCAGCCTGTGGTGGGTGATGATTTATGGCACTTGTGTGAGCAGAGCAAGCAAAGGCACAGGCTGCAGAGTTGTGCAGGAGAGAAGTCTGGTAGGGGAGCTCAACTGCAGCACAGAACTTTGCAAATCAGCAGTGTCACAGGCTGAGGGCTGTGCTCTGGGAAGGGGCTTGAGGAGTGTTGGGGGTCACTGGGAGGGTGCAGGGGGTACTCAAAGGCCTTTCAGAGGACGTGGGAGCCCAGTGACTCCATGGATGATTTTTTCTCTTCCCTGGTGGAAGCAGTGAGAGAGCAGCTGCATCCACTGTCCCTGATTTAACAGGGTTTGAGACATTGGCAGAGAGTAAATAGCATCCTGTAGCCAAATCCTGATGAATAAAGCCAGGTTTGAGAGAAGTCTTTCTCACAGAACACTGATCTAGGTTTGAGTGGCGCTGGGACAGGAACCTGTTTCAATTAATTCGAGTTGGAGATTAGTCTGATTTTCAGAGAGGTTGCTAATGATTTTTAGGTGAGGAAACTGTCCCTGAAAGGATTTCTGGTATTGAGAGAAGGGCAGAGACCATGAGGTCTAAATGTGCTGGGAAGTGGGAGAAAGCAGGAGGAAACACAAGCCCCTAAAATCAACAGTGTGAGAGGAAGCTTTCCAGAGACACAGGGTGGGGAGGAAGCCTCACCTTTAAGGGACTTGGTAATACTGAGTGGGATGTTGGTGCACTGATTATGGCTGCATGCTTTATGCTATTCCAGCCTTCCTGAAAATCTCCCTTATTCCCTTTTCCTGAAAGACTTGTCATTTTTCCTCACAGATGTTGTAGGCTGCAATTTAAGGGGTTGACGGTAGGAGGATGGATATAATTATAATGGATGTAATTATGGAAAAGATGATCACATAAAAGATTAAAGAGCAGAGTGTTATGAAAGATGGCTGAAAGCAGGCATTTCCTATGGTTCATGCTTGTGTCTGTGTTTCATGTGTTGCCACTTTATGAATGGCAGAGATGGGCAGAGTCTTGCTGCCCATAACTAGTGAAGTTAATAAGGGAGGTGGGTGGCTCAGAGCATGTGCATCTAATTAGAGAGGTGGCTGCAATGCACTTTTTGGACAGAGAAAGGGAAATATGGGCAGCACTGCTACTGCCCAGTGAATGGGTAATTATAACAATGGGAAGTATGAGAATCCTCTTCAGGAAGCAGTGAGAAAAATGTTGTTGAACCCTAAAGACTCTAGGTAGAATTATTCAGATGTGGGCAGATTGACTTTATGCTGGATTTCAGGAAATGCTCAAAGGTACAAGTAGGGAACAGTGAACTATCATTCCTATAATGACAAAAAGGTATCCTGGTCTAGATCGTTGAACAGGTTTTCTAGGAACATTTTCAGAGAAAAACTTGGGGTTTTTTTGTTTTGGTGATGTTTGTTGTTGGGGTTTTTTTTGGTGTTTTTTTTGTTTGTTTTTTTTTTTTTTTTCCCCTAGAATGAAAATTTAGTTGAGCAAAGCTTTGGCAGTTAAAGGGATTTCCAGAGACAAAGACCTGAGGAGGACATGAGCATCCTTGGTAAAGAAAATACAGACGACAACCTGCAAAGGGAGAAGGCAGCCCAAAGCAGTGCTTTTCTCTTTCTTCTGTAAGAGGAATTTTATACAAGACCTGATTAAAATGGTTTTAAAAAGCCTGAGTAGCCTTTGTGATGGGTGCAGGACAGGAGTCTTTCATATTGAAGCCTGGGTGCTCCTTGATATCCTGTCAGATTCCATCTTTCTGTTCATGGTTTAAATAGCCTAATTGCTGTAGTTTCATTCATGTCATTTAACTTCCTCTTACCACAAAGGAAGTCTAATTCAGCATTAACAGATTATTTAAAGACTGTTTTTATGTTTGTATCATATTGGCACTTTAAAGTGATTTCAGAGCTAAAACTTGAAAACTATCTGCAGGTTCCAGCTGAAACATGCAAGATAAATTACAACCCATTGATCTGAAATAGGAAGAAATAATGATAAATACAGCACAGAATGAACACTTTGTGTTGGATGGTGACTGTGCTTTTCCCTGGCACCTCTGTGCCCTCTTTACCTTTCTGTGTAAGGCCCGTTTGTTTGCCTGTGACATCAGGCTGGAGGGAGGCTCTGCCCTTCCCCAGGACAAGAACTGCTGTGGCCAGTGACTGCTGCTTTGATTCTTTGGCCTGAAGTGATTTATTTCCATGGCAGTGGTTCACTCAAGTTAGCATGAATATTTCCATGAGCTCTTTGCATATGTTTGTCTTGCTGTTTCACTGATGGGCACATCTGGCAGCCCTGCTGATGTTATGTTGCAAAGTGTAGAAGGAAAAAAGAAATGGGCAAGAGAACACAGGCATGCAAGTACTGTCCCTTCATCCTATTCATGAAAACATAAAATTCTAGATGTTCCCAACAGGACTGCAAGTATAACTGAAGAATCTGGTCTTGTCCTGTCCCCCTTTTGCACCATAACTTTGTACTCATTATTCCAGAGCACACACACCTGCAAGACCCATTCAGCTAAAATAGCTCCTGTGATTGTCTTTGGAGCAATGTCAAGAACCCAGGGGTTCTGCTAAAGAAAGTGAGTTCCATGTGTGAATCTGGAGTGAAAGCAGTGAATACAGCCTGGAAAATGCCTGTTCCTGCTCCCTGTGCCCTTAACACATGCAGATTTATTCTCCTCCCCACCACTGAGACAGACTAAGGCCTTTGTAACATCTGAAATGAAAAAGGATGTGAAAATATTCTGCAGAGGGGCTGAGATAAATCATTGCCATGCAGTAGTCTCCATCTCAAGTAAGTTTTGGAAGTACAGCTGTCTTTAAGGTCAGGATTATCCAAGGGTGGATTTTTTCTTATCACATCCAAAAGCATACAAAGGAGGAGGATGCTGATGACAGCTGATGGAGGAGGAAGGGTGTGGGATGCCTTTGACCATGCATGTGTGCTTTTGTTGTGTGTTCTTCTGGAGCCCTGGCTGCCCAGGAGGAGTCACTGAGTGATCCTGGCACCAAGGGGGACAAGAGGGCTCCAGGGGTGGAACATCTCTGGTCAGGTGTATTTTCACCTGAACAAAGTGGAAATCCAAAGGAGAATTTCAGGTTTTCTCCAAGCCAAGTGCAGGCTGTTACAAATACATATTATACAATTGGCTTTTTGCAACTATTAAAATAAATGCTATATGTGTAGTGTTAAAGTTACTTTGTTATAAAGATATAGGTTGGTTTTTTTAAAATATTCTGTGTTTAATTGAACTTAGACACAGTAGTGAAATAGCTGATATAAATATGCTTGTATTAAAATGCCTGCTTGGTTGGGATGACATCCAATGAACATAGGATGGGAGACCCCTGCTACTGCTATGCCAATTATCAGCACCCACCATCTGTAAAAAAAATGGACCAAAGCCCAAACTGGAGGTGGTAAGAATGGACTAAAACCACAGCCAGGAAATGTGCATGCTCTAAAAAGGTAGAACAGAGGAGGAGCCATGCTAAACAGTTCTTGGAACATGTAGACTAGTATGGGGAAAAGTTTAAATATGCATAATTGTTTATGAATATGCAATAGGACAGGTATTTAAAGGGAGTCTGAAATAGCAGGTGTGCTCTTGGCTGAATGCTGAATGCCAAGCACCTTGGTACATCTTTGCTTTGTCTTTTTTAGTTATTGTCCTTTATTATACTTAAATTTTTACAGGAGAGCAAACCTCGTTTTTCACAAGTCCACAAAATCTTTGTGAAGAGGGTTGGAGTACTCCTGAGGGGAGGTATGAGGATGGAAGTGAGTCCAAGAGCAATGTAGCACTGGAGCTGAGGGAGCTGCCTCACTTTGCTGCTCACAGGGCACATGGAGCTGAGCTGACACCAGCAAACCCCCTTCAGCTCAGCAGGGAGTGTCTGAACAACAGAAACAGAGCCACAGACATCCAGGTGCAACAATGGCATTTGAAAATATTTCAGAGTTCCTGATGTGTCAACCTGTAGGCTGGATGCAGTTCTCTCTGTGCTAAAGAGCTTGGAAGGAAGGAAGGTATGTTGTTTGGGATCCCTGGGATTGCTGTGGGATTGCATGAATATTGAATGCAGGGTGCCCCTGACGTAGGGAGTGATTGGCATCTGACTCCACTGATTCAGAATGCTGAACAATTGCTTTATTAAACTATATTATATGACATTATACTGTACTATATTAAAGAGATACTGTACTAATCAAAAGATACATACTAAAGGGATACCAAAGAATACCATACAAAAAAATACTAAAGAACAACCCATGACTGTCTGAGACAGCCAGGACACAGCTTTGACCCAACAGGCCAAGGAAACAAAACAATCCTCAGCAGAATCCAATTGACAAATCACTTCAGGTAAACAATCTCCATAGCACATTCAACATGTGCAAAAACAACAGGAGCAGCAAGTAGAGATAAGAATTGTTTTCTCTTCTCTCTGTGCTTCTCCAGGAAACTCTCTCTGTTCAGAGAATGTGAATGCCACACATGAGCACTGTGGAGCTGTGGTGATCCTTGGGCACTCTATCCCTGGGGCTCAGGGCAGAGGAAATAAAGCAAATGGAGCTTTTGTCCCTGGAGCAAACAGAATTAGTGACAATGCTCCAAACTCTTGGGCTTGCTGAACAATCCTGGTGTTTGGCTCCTCTGCTGTGCTTTGCTTGTAAGGGCAAGGCAGTGTGAAAGCACAGGCTGTACCTGAGGGATGGGGCTGTATTTTATTCCTCTTTCCTGTGAATGATTTTCTATATGAGATTTGCCTCTGAGGGACAGTTCCTACAGTAAAGTTTTCTGCTGGCTTTCTGCCCATGTTCGACTTTTACACATGCAATTTTACACCTACAAAGCACAAACAACTGAATAATACTTTTTTCAGTTCTTTTCAGGCACAGTCTTATGACATGAATTTGCAGAAGTGTTTTCCTAGGGAGGTTTTAGGTAGATTACTGTTTTCTATAAATTAATATTTTTCGGCAGATGTGGGCTTAAATTGCTTTTCCTGAGGATTATGAATCTTGTAAATTGTTTCAGTGATGCTTTTAGGAAAATAAATAGATAAAACAGAAATAAGAATTGTTTGTGCCAAGGCCTGATAGATGTTTTCTTGTTTCTGGGAACACATAGGCAACTGGCTGATGTTTTCTTCCTTTTTTTTTGTTTTATTTTTTTTTTCCTTTTTCCAAAGCTCTTGAGAGGTAGCCCAGCACATAATAAGAGGTTGAAATTTATTTGTTGTGTGAAGAGCTTAAATACAAATACTGTAATTAAAATTGGTGATCTACCTGGAAAGCTGAAATGGAGCTGTATGTTATTACTGAGGTTTGGTACCTCAGTGCAGTGTTTCAGCAGTGACACTCCAGCCCATCCAGGGCAATTCTAAGAATGAGCAGCACCCTCACCTTGGGCTTTGGGTTGTCTTGACAGGATGGCTAAAGGGGACCATGGGGTTTAGGTTGCTGTCTGCCCTGCTGTTTCAAAATGGGTTGGAAATATGGCCATTTAAAGCATTTGAGAATGCAGGCACTGCTCTAAGAGTGCCAGTGTCCAGTCCCCAGTGAGCCAATTCCCACTGGAAGCTTGTGTAGCCCAGTGGTGTATGTCCAAAATCACTTTCAGGAGTCTTGTTCAAAGGCTTTTTTTTATCAGTCTGCCCCTTGTGTGGTGTCTGTGGTTACTCCAGAGGTGTGACTGGATGAGAATTTACCTTGCAGCATTTCCTTGGCCCTGGAGCCTTACTGGGAATGCATGAATTGTGCTGTAGGAAATACAACAGAATTGTTGTCCTCAGCTGGCAGCTGCAGAGCTCAGGCCAAAATCTCTCAGTGTCAAAGGATTTAGGTGGCACATCAAACGGGTGTTTGCTCTTTAATATTATTTGGTGGGAGTTTTTTTGCAAGTACTTGAAAGAACTCTCCTGCATGAGCTGAAACACTGCTAAATGTTTTTGCTTTTTAGGAAGTTTTCAGCCTCACAGCTGGTATGGAGCTGGCTAACAACTAACTTCAGCAGAAGGGGCCTGAAACCTTCCCAATGATCACAGGGACAGGCAGAGCAGCAGTTGATCTGATGAGGTGATTAAAAATCAAGCATCCATGACAAATAGCCCTTCAGAGTAAGTTAGATTTTGTGGGAGCAACTTGAGCTGACCCTGAGGTGGAATAATTATGCTGAAATGACATGAATTGCCCAGCAAACTTACATATATTTTAGTTTCTTGCCCTTCTGATCATAATTAAGTGACTCTACCAGATCAGAAGCTGTTTTAACTCATTTGGAAATAAAATTACTGTGCCTACTGTGCTGTGTAAAGTTTAGGAAAACCTTAATGAAACAAATTCTGTCAGGGGAGGCTGCTTTACTCTCCCAAAGTACTTAGTTTAAATCAAATGGCTATGGATTTCTAACTTAAATTTATTCCATGTATTGTGTGCAATCTCTTTGTGGGTAACCATTGATTCAAATACCACTGAATATTGTAGTGCTGAGAATTCAGTTTTTCTTATCTGAGATCTCTCCCCTCATACAGGTCCCTGCCACCAGAGCTCACCTCAACAACCTTTTATTTTCATTTACCCTCCAAAGCATTAAACCTCATTACATTGGAGTGTATGTACTCATTCAGGGTATGTCAGTGAAATTTTGTTCAGTTTATTACAGGACTTCAGGAACTGAGCTGTTTACCTGGGAGACTTGAGCATTCAACCCAAGAAAACTGCTCATGTGCTTTGGTTTTGCACAATTGCTGTCACCTGATCTGAACTGAGAACTCAAATGCAAACTGACTATATTAGAAACTGAACAACAATTAAGTCTTTTTTCTGAAAAAGATGTTTTGATGGAAAATTGAATTCCAATTTCATGTGATTCAGTATTTCCCTCAGATAAAATTTAGCATGGTTTTTCTTATATTTCTGGCCAAACTTTTGTTCTGATTCATTGAAAGCCTTGTGCATTTCAGTAAGATCTGTATTCTAGGATTTGATGGCTTGTGTATTAATTCAGCTCTTTTCCTGCTTCTTATGCTTAGATATTAGTATTGCAATCAAGGGCAGGATTATAAAAGGTCAAGATATTGAATGAAATCTCTGATGCATGGAAACCCAGAGAGGGATAGCTGTAACTGTCATGTTCTCTTTAAACAAAAAAATATCAGCCTCGTTTTAATGAAAACTGTGTAGGAAAAAGACCCTGGTGAAAATAAGTTACAGTTGGAGCTCTCAATTCAATTTTATTGCTTTAAAATCTATGAAAATCAACACCAGAAAAATGGATTTTTGCATTACTGAGTATATTTTTGACTTTGAACTTCACATCACAGATCTTTTCCATTAAGATAAACCCCTAGGTAGCAAGAGATCTGTCCTGGATCATGGAGTTTCAGTTTTTCCCAGTATTCTGGGAATGGCAGTGCATCACCTATCCTACCTAGGGGTTACCCTCCCAGTCCAGTGAGCTGCACTCACTTGTCTATTTTGCAACAGGGCTGCCCCACAAAGTCCCACCATTTTAGAGAAGGTGGAAAGATGCATTCTAGTTTAATGCTGTACTATTTGCACTGGCTGGGTGATGGAAATCTATTTATTCCCTCTTGACTGTGCCACTTGACATCAGTACAGGATACCTGGTTACACTAGTCAGTTTAGAATTATTTTTTTGTCTAAGGATAAAAGCTTATATCTCCTTGACTCCTGCTGTTTTCCTTGTATACCACTGCCCCTCCAGTGTTAAAGAGTTCCTGCAGTTACACATGGAGCTTGCTTCAGCTTAACCAGGAGTCATTCCCCTGGCTTCTCAAGAATTTCACTTTTCTGTGCTACAGCAGCACTCAGCTGTGCAGATATCTCGTGGTGCCCTGGGCAGCAACAAACACAAGAAAGGCTAAACTGAGCTTTGGAAACTGCCATCAGTTGATTTGCTCTTGTGATGATTATTTCATGGAAATTACTCATCCTCTCTTATAATTTACTTTTTCTTTGTTACTAATGGACCCTCTTCAGATTAAAAAATAAGTCCAAAAGGTGAATACCTTAACTTCCTAGCAAAAAGTCTTTCCTTACTTCTTCTCATGGACTCTTCCCTTCTTCTTCAGCCCTTGGATCCTGTCTGTGGTGAGCAGCTGCCTTTGCTTTTTTTCGTCCTCCCTCCCAACCCTGTCCCTACAGATTGTACAACCTTAAGCTACACACTCAGGAAGGGATGGCAAAAACCAGGAAAGCACTGGGAAAAATTGAAACAATGACAAAGTCAGAGAGGAAGCTCTCAAAGAGAGGTAACAGGCTTCTGGAGGAAAAGAACTGCAATGACTAAACTTTATAAAATGTAATTTGGTATTTGAAACTCATAAATCGACAGTGACATTGAATCCTTTGTGTATTCAACTTAAATAAAATTTCACAGATTCAGAAGCGAAAGATGGAGTATTTGACACTATCTCACAGATTTCTGTCAGCCATATGTTACCTGTTCTCCAGAGCAGACAGATGCTGCAAATTTCAATGGCAGGAAGTGGATATTGGGCCTAAAAACTCCCATGTTGCACTTCTCTCTGAGAGATGTCTTGTTGCAGGTAGGATATTCATGTTTAGTTTCTACCCAAAGAGACTTTGGAGAGCTGGTAGAACTGGTGAATTTTGATTCTAGCAGGTGGAGACCTCTTGAACTGCTTGGCATTGTCAGATGCAGTTGCAGCTCTGGTGGGAGGGGGGAGGTGGAATTAGCATGAAACCATTTTAAATTGTGGCACTTAACTCGACTAACTACAATTATAGTAAAATGCCTTCTAAAGTGTCTGATTATATCTTACAGTCAGAAGTTCCAAATAAAATGGATAAACATACATTAAGAAGCAAAACAAGAGTGAGTGTTAAGCACAGAAAACAAGAGAGATTGCTAAGGATAATTATTATATGCAACACCCTGCATGAGGTGTTAGTGTTTTGTTGATTCTTTGGTGTTATATATTTAGAAAAAGAGGCTGAACTGTCACCTTTGTAACCAAATAGCTTATCACCCAGTGCATTAAGTAGGAAACAGATCACTTATGTTGCATTTACATGGTTAATCTGTCTACCACATTCTGAGTTTCTCCCTGCTCAGTCGGTGGAAGATTAGAGCCTTTTTTCATAATTGCTTTGTTAAACCACTTCACTAAAATTAGCATTTAAATAAGGGTAAATTGAGCACTGAATGGAATTTCCATAAAAGTGCGATAAACCCCGAGCCTGTACAAGGTCTGTGAGTGGAGGGAGCTGCAGCATGTGTAGGCTTTGTGTGGAGCAGGAGAGCAGCCAGGACACAGCTGCCTTCCAGGACTGGGGCAGCGTCTGTGTGGGCTTGGATGGTTTGTAGGACAGAGAATCCTGGTTTACCTGGCATCTCTAAATAGCACAAAATATTAAGGCATGCAAAAGGTTCTTTTTAGTCTGCTAAAATGTTCATGTGTGTGCAGCCTCAGTTTGAGGTTTGACTTACTCATTTCAGGTGCAGTGATGAATAAATACGAGGAAGAAAGGGGGTTTATCACAGGGGAGTCCTTCAGATCACCGTCCTTTTTTCAGCCTTCAGATGACAGCAGCTGAGGGAGAAAGCAATTTGTACCTCAGAGGTATTTGGCCAGCCTTAGGGTCAGTGCTTAACACCCTGTGTGACTGAGGTTGCCAGAAGCACTCTGGGATTTTATGCCCACTTATATTCCACTGGCTTTCAAAAGAACCACTGAGCCAAGTGTGTGGAGGCAAAGCCTGAGCTCTTCTGCAGGTCACCTTTGGTTTTATTTTGGTGGGGAGCCCAGGCCAGCATCAATCTGTCTGTTTTGATTCAGGATAAGTACAGAGGGACCTAGTGGAGTCTTCCAGTAGTACTGTTCTCTCCAGGAGAAGGATATTCAATTCCTGTGCAGTTCCTCTAGGTCTGCTTCTTTTAACATTGTAAAAGGCACAACCTTGTAGTGTAATTTGGGATAATTTGGCATAGCCCCTTAAGAAAGGGGGTTTTATATGCATCCCTTCCATATAGCTGAGAGCTATCCCTCTCTCAAGAGGTGGCAGAAGGGGAACATAGTACAAAGAAGATGAAAGAAAGTTTAGGTGATGTGACGACAAAGCCAGAGAGAGTATGTAAGTATGGGAGGAGGAGAAAAAAGAGAGGATGTGAGGGCTGGGGAAGAGACTCCTGCATTGGCCAGGAACTGTATTTTTATATGTCTGAGTGTTTGAAATCCACCCATCACTAGCTTATAAATGAAGGAATTGCAGTTAAACTTGATCTGCATTATTATATCACTGTCTTAATTTGGGTGATTATTAAGACACAACCTTAAAATTTGCTTATTCTGTGTGTTGGCATGCCTGGCATGGTGGATGTGTTTGGATTATGATGGACTTGTGTTTGTGTGGCTGCATATGTATGTATATGTCATGTGTGCACATATTAAGACCATTTTGGTTGATCTATTTTGCCACTTCTTGTTTTAAACAAAAGGTTGCAGGGATCCAAAGTAACTGTGTAGAGCTGTGAACACTCCCTTAAGATGCTTCAGTAAATTCTGGCATAGGCTGAGGTCTGTACCTGTAAGGATGACAGCAAAGAGCCCTTTCTAGTCCAGCTGCATGGGAAAGCTGAAAATGGAAATGCAGTTTTAATGGTGCAATGCTGGAAACAAATGGAAACCAACATAAGAAATCCACCCATGGCAGTGTATACATCACTTACAGATTTTTTCCCCCCAAGTTTACATCATGTCTCTGTTCAAAGGCTAGGGGAAGCTCATTTCTAGTGTTGGCTGTTTTCACACTAGGGGCAGGATCTCACCTGGGAGCAGCAATTGAGCTGGCTAGATACAAAGCTGAGGACATCCATAGGTCACCTAGGATGGTTTTTAAAAAGAGGAATTTATTAATTGTTAGCACTGCAGTCATTAAAAAACATAACGTGTACTGCTAATGAAGAATGAAGTTAAGAAAATGCAAACCAGAAAACAGTAGAAGTGTTTCCTGTTGATATTCACAAGTGGTCACCTGAGTATTTGTGAAATGATGGTGAGCCCATGTTTCCTTTTTGTTTTATGAATATCC